AACTCTTTTCTTATCAGACTTAATTGTGAAAAAATGTAAATCAAATACATATTGTATCTCAATTCTGTCTGTATGAATTCTTCCAAAAGTTTGAAAAGCGAGTTTTACGGTTATTTTGTATCTATAATTTACATCTTTCTTTTTTCTTATCAACATACAGAGCCCAAAGATTTAAAGAAACCCAAGTATTTGAACTCCGATTTCATGAAAAAATAAAAATCCATAAGTTATTTTGTGAGTGTAAGACATAATACAGGGTTGTCTGTGTAACACAGTGGTTAGAGCGTTTGCTCTTGAGTCTTGTAGATGATTCTGAAGTCGCGGGGAAAATTCCCACTGCGGGACGTGTCCTTCGGATGAGACCCTGTCGCAGTACGTGATGGCAAAACATATTCCTCATTGTCTGAGTGTGGAGCATAGATCTAACTTTGCAGCTCTCCGCATGCAAGTGGTGGCGTCTTCATATGATTGAAAAATTCTTGAAAGGGACATTAAAGAACAAGAAAACAAACACAATTTTTTTAATGTTCTTTTTCAGAGAAAGTTTTAAAGTAAAGTCGTAAGAAAAGAACATTTTAAGAACTAATAAATGCATTATGCATCAGGTGCATCGATTGATATTTGTACATTTTATGAATATACATGTGTATTGTTTTAAATTCCACAAAAGTATTCCCGCAGGGGTTACTCTTTCTAAAAAACATCCTTTCAGCAGCTGCATCTTCTTTGAACATGTAATAAAGATGGCTTAAAGAAATACCACTGAGATTATTATTTTTATGATAACATCCGGAAAAAAACGTCATTTAAACGCAACGTCCTTGTTTATGAGATATGAAATTTTGAGTCAGTTTACGTGAAGTGAAAAGCGGCTTTTTCACAATAAAAATATATTTTATAACATAATAGAATATTAGTTTTTGACATATAAGAAGCAATAGATTAGACGCAATGTTGCTTTGCTCCATTTGTTGCCACCTGTTTCCTTTCTTTCCACTGATTAAGTAAATATTTGAATTTCATGATACTTGACTACCATCCCCGTACCTGAGGAATCGTGCCCATGACATCAATCTTAATTATTATTAACTCTTTAAAATCGTCTTCACTATTAGACATCAAGCAACCGCACATTGCCATTTTACAATTAGTGTTGAGTCCGCAGCCGAAATGGCATAAAATAGCATGACGCCATTTTCAGGGGTCCTGGTGTTAAAGGCGGGATTCTACTGGTCATAATGAGAGAATGCCTAAAAAATTCTTCAAAAATTTTTTTCACCCAAAATATACCAATAGGAAAATTAAGTGCATTAAAATAATGAACAAATGGGTCTTTTAAAAAATTGTGAAACTTATGGCCTCACAGTTTGATGTTCTTGAACTAGGGGGAATTTATTGTTCATAGAGTAAAAATGCAGACTTCTTTAAATATACCTTTCATTTTATAATGAACAAATGAATACAATTAATGATCTATTTTATTTATGGTTTATGATGCATATTTCAGGTCGATTTTGCATTAATTTCATATAAGTATCTTGTCAGACTTTAAAGCAAAGTGTCAAGGAAATGATGTAAACCTATAATGAAAATTCACATAAAATAATCTCTGTGGCGTAAAACCTCAACTCGCTCTAATTACTGCAAGACGTCCCTTTCTCATACATCTGAATAGGAGGCTGACCGATCTGCTGCACACCTATTCGATGTTTCTAACCGCTGATTGAGATGGTGTGGAAGTGAGGGGTGGGCTTCTACATTATTTTTTAAAGACCCAAATGTGTTCAATAAGATTCAGATCCGGGGATTTGGCAGGCTAGTGCATTGCACAAGAAGTCTTGGGCATCTTACACTTAGGTGTACCTCTTTTAGGATAATTCAGACTGTTTGAGATGATACTGGACTGTCATAAGAACCACTTTGTTGCCATATTTTCGTACCATTGCGAAAACTTGGCCTCACAAGAAGATCTAGAACCCCTCCCATCTGGTTATATTATGTACAATGCTTTCAAATTGTGATAAGTTGGCGATAAAAATGAAGCACAATCTATAAAAAAAAATGTGTGTAATGTAATTTTAGGCCTTTCAACTAGTTTTTCAAGTTGCACATATGGTAAAAACATTGTATAGATAGAATTATAGGTACATGAAATTACCAAACAAGGTAATAACTTATGCATACTTTTAATTACATCATTAAAAAGTTTAATAATTTATAATTGACTTTTCCGATGTTGTGTTAAGGACAGGTAACTCAGGTGTGAAAAATGAACAACTTAGTGCCGATTTATGAGTTATCGACTTCCTAAATGGTCATTTTTTAAATGTTTTTTTTTTTTTAGTTAAACTATTTGTAAAAAAAAAAAAAAAAGGACAATGGTCACAAAAAGAAGCTGATTACATGAAATATGTGCCAAAAGTTCAGATTTATTGCTTTTAAGCCTTGCCACAGGACATTGGTTTTCATTAATGTTAATTGATTTTCTATCGACAATTGTTGAGAAGACTCATTGGTGATAATAATTTGAGAATATCATACCTTTCATGTAGTTTTTAAACAAATTTATTTTTTAGAGTAAACACTTAGACTTTTTGTTAATTGTGAAATATTTATGATTGAATGGAGAATTAATCAGGTCTAATTTTATCGTCATGTTTTTTCCAGTGGAGACAAGCAGTCGTTCCCTTCTGTAAGCTAAGATTTTCTCTAATATTATATTTTTCACAACATCACTAAGTACTAAACAACTATTCATAATACCAAGTTCACTGCATAACGTTGTTTATATCTTAAAATTTTACATTTGCTGTGGTATTCTACTAAACTAGCTTTGAAATTGCGTTTTAGTGACGTCACAATGAGGGTACAGAGACAATGATAAAAATGCGAGATATGGGGCAGCTAAAATTCACATATTCACTATATTTGTTTCCTTTTAAACGTGTAAAATATAAATATCAGGTATTTATTTAAGTAATGTGAATTATTAGCTAGAAAATCAAACAAACTTCATATAAACATAGTTTTCATGAAGCACTACCGCGCTCTAAAAAAAATCTGCCTACACGCCAAGATGTGTGAATTTTACACATCCATAACTCACACAAAACTCAAAAAACATTCCTTTAACATCTACAATGTCAACGTTGAAGTATCAATTATTGAAAAATTGAAAATCATGTTTACGCTTTTTGATTTCGGTTTTGTTATTGTATGTTCATTTCCTTTATTTTTAATTTATACTAATCAAAAACTTGAAAAATATTATATCGTACCCTGCAATTGAGTTTAGAAGAGCGTGCAAACGCTGTCAGCATAAAATTGTCAGGATGTCTCTTTTGTGAAATTCGTTAAATATTATACAAATTCTTTTTTTAAACTGTTGTAACATAAGCTGATATTACGCGGATATCAACAAGTTTCGTTTAACACCAGCATTTTGCAGGTTTTGTGGTCGATAAAAAGACCTTGTAAGCAAATACAATCTATCCTTGAGCCGAAAGTTAGCAGAGTTTTGGTTCAAGTTGTACAGCATTATTTACAATATTTACATTATATAGGGTCCGTGCTTTATGCCCTGTCTACCGATATCTTTTGTTTAAAGGTTTTTCTAGGATCGATTACTAATCGCTTAATGTTGACTTTCATTGCAATGGGGGTAAATAATGATAATTTACTATTTTAAATAGACGTGGTTATTTGTTTTTGTTCGTGTTACAATTAAAGGACTAAGAAAGGGGTATGTTTGACTTAATGAGGATTGTATGGACAAAGAGTCTCGCTTAATTGATGATTCTTAAAATCATCGCCTCAAAAGATTTCTTTAGTTAGATTATCGCACGGATTTTACTGACTAAGCTCAGAAATAAACAAATGCAAGTATTAATGGAACGATTAATGCAATATCAGAAACCAACATCATATTCTTAAGACTGTTTACTTCAAACCTTAGATTTTTGAAGAAATATTTAGCATTAACATAAATCAGAAAAAAAATTGAGAAGTAATAAATCTAAACCGAGGCAAGCTAGTAACAGATAAGTTGATGTTACTTGAATTTCGAAAACCTCTTTTAAAGTTGCCATTTTGTACATTGTTATAACGACTCTGAAGATAAATGTGATTTATCATTGATTTATATTTAGGCTGACTTGTTTCCTACTAAGTATTAAGCCTATGTTTTATACCTGAATTGACTACACAACATATCTTTGATCAATTAATACATACTCAGGTAAAATTGCAACGCATGTTAACCATATGGTTTGAGAACCATATGTTGAACATAAGTTAAACATACGTTGAACATATGAATTTTCCACAGTATGTTTAGCATATGTTTAAAACCTATGTTGAACACATGTTTAAAACATATGTTGAACATATAACCGACTCAAAACATACGTTGAACATATGTTTTGAGTTTGACACTTTTTACAAAAAAAACATCTCCAACGTCAGGAAATGTTCAACAGCTCAATTTTCCTGCCAACAAAGTTGAGAGTTACCTTACATTTTAGATAAATCATAAATTAAAATCGTAATAAACTAAGTTCACTTATTCCCTTAATTTCTTGGTTACATTTTTTGGACTGGGTATACCTTTCATAGACACCCCCCCCCCCCAGAGAGAAATCTGTGGCCTGCTTTAAAGTCTAATATAAATTACACAAAATTTATTTTATGTTAATTTTTAAGCAATGTACTTCAGGTAAAAAAAAATAAATTCAAAAACATATCAAGATGAATTTTAGTGTTTATTTACAAGAATGTAGATGATCATTTCTTGTAGACGCTCGCATAAAAAAGAAGGATGTCTACTCCGTTACTCTGCACCCTCATCCCACACTGTTCAAATCTTCACAAAATATTTTACTTTTTTAAAGCTAAATTTATGATCAGGTAAAAACAAAAATGTATTATGTTTTCATTTGGTTTATTCCGGACCGGTTTTGGTTTATATCGGATGAAAGTGTACGTCACATTTGACGTCACTGTTGCAGCAGAAGTCTTGGGTGTTGGAAAAAGGTAAGTGCTCTCAGATATTTTTTGAAGACTTTTGGCCTAGTTCATGGTGTTAAAATCATTTCATTACGGTTAAAGAGAAGTGAATAAACTTTGTGCATAGCGCAGCATTCCTATCCACAAGTACAGATCTAATGCAGTTCATAAAAGCCGAACCTGGTCTGCTGGTGATCAAATAAAAAAATTGGATTTGTTTATGATAAATGAAAAACCATACGGATCCAGCATTACCAATTTTTCATATAAATTTGTTTTTCTTTTGTCAATAGTTATTCTTACATATTATATACTCGATTCTCATTATATCGCGGGTTTCATTGTATCGCGGTATATTGAAAAAAATTGGATACATAGCCTATATCCCTTTTGTTGATGGACAATCTGTTTGTTTCTTAATGTTTACGGAACGACTTTACTTTACCGGTCCCCAGAAAAACGCGCTAAAATGTAGTGTCGCCGAAGGCGACTTCAGTATATATGAGATCGCGTGAGCGATCGAAAAAAAATTTAAATACGAGGTTTTTTGGCCTTTTGACCCCAAAATTGAATTCTACGGTTAAAAGTTTAGTTTAAAACTTTGTTTTTAAACAAAGTTTTTAACCTCGTTCTCTGAAAAAAATTAATAAATAGTTGTTTATTCATGGAAAAAATCGACAAAGAATAATTCTGAACGAAGCGCGTGCGGCGCATGCTTAATGTCATTTCTTTCGGACTTAGCCAATCTTCCATGTAAACAAACGAAGGAAATGCCTATGAATCTGAATTATGATCTTGGAAAAATTACAGAAACAACTGAATTTTTTAACTAAAAGAACGATTCACTAACCCTAATCCATCGTATGGTATGCAAGGACTAAGACGTTCAGACGAAATCTCCCGGGCAGATGCTAAACTAACCCTAATCAGTCGAATAATGTGCGAGGACTAACCCTAATTTCTCGGATGGACGCGAGACTAACCCTAATCAGTCGAATACTAGTGAAGGACTAACCCTAATCTCTCAGGTGGGTGCAAGACTAACCCTAATCAGTCGAATAGTAGTGTGTAGATTAAACCCATTTCAGTTGAGTGACGTAGTTGTTACGTCATAGTCCAATGAGCGCGAGGATCTTGCGGATCTGGGGACCGGTAAAGTAAAGTCTACCCATGTTTACTTTTTTGATGATTAAGAAATATGGAACATCTGTTTGAAAAAAAAAATATTCATATAAAACGTAATTTTACAGATTTCCAGTCCCGATTTATGATATTTAGACCATTAAATTTATAACCTAATAAAAATTTTAATAAAGTTCATCTTTTAAAAGTGTTTAGATTGTACAATTGTTTATTTTTCATGTAGACTTACATCAAAATTCAAAAATAAAAACTGACGTTCATGTCAACTAGAAGCATCCATGTTTTCCCATACCGCGATACAATGAGACTCTCCAATTTAGGAGGTAAATTAGACTTCTTGTTTTAAAACTAAACCACAAATTAAACGATGCAAGCTTGGAAAATAATTTGACACTAAAAAGTTAGGTCATAGTCAGCATTATAAATAATATTTGATAAAAGTTAAATCAAAAATTTGAAATTATACTTTTTATGCAAAAGAATTAAGGACTGAGATATATTGAGACACCAGTATATATACACGATCTCGATATGAAAGTGAAAGTAGAACTGTAGAAACTTTGTGTAGCAGTTGAAGTAAAATGTTATGTTCAGATCGTTATCCATACGGTTCTTTTAACAATTTAATGAAAACTTTTTGTTTTTATTAGGCATATGTACTAAGCAACTTAAGTTCAGCGTCCCAGAGTCGTTTTTATTCAAAGAACCCATTGCCGATTTTATTGAGTGACGATGGAAGTTATTGACCCAATGCCGATTTTATTGGCGATTGCGTGATGACAAATCAGGTACATACAATAATAATCATAGTGTTTACCAGTAATGAGTATTCAAGGAATGAATATTTCCTGAGAAAATTCTTTTTTCACTTGTATCTAAATTCATGATTAAATGGCTTTTTAAAATATATCCAACTCTTTTTTTTTTTACAGAACAATGTTCCAGCACATTTTTAAAAACCTGTAAGATATGAAGAGAATTTTCTGGCCCTAAAACAACGCAATATCTACATGTAAATGGGGATAAATTTTCATCTAAAGCAGACATACAAGGTACTACTTTATGTGTTCATGATTTACAAGTGTCAAAAGAACAATAAGAAAAAAAATGTGTGTATTCAATTTTATGAAATTAAAAAAATACTGAAAAAACTGAATTAAAAAACTCCAACAAGTATCAGTTAATTCATTGATTATTTATACATCAATTAACATTTTAATTCTTTTTATCAACACTAGAGAAACTAGTCTCTGTTGTAGTTATATATGCACATAATAAACTGTGTGAATTATTATTTGATATTTTTAAAGGTGTAATATACAGCCTGCCTTTTTCATAGTGAATACATTGAAGAACAGACACCATGACCCCAAGCTTGCTTCAAAATAGGTAAGGAAATAGTCTGTAATCAACTTAATTTTTTTTAATTTTTTCCCCAAGAAAGTTTTAGGATTATAATGTATTCAAAATGTCTGGGGTTTTTTATGCTTGTCTGTTTGTTTGTAGTATTTATTTTTTGGTCAAGGGTTATACATTTGTATCTCAATCATTGTGAATTATGCCTATAGCATGTTTTGCAATCTGCATTTACTATTTAAACATTCGAAATTCAATTGTCAAAATTTTGAAAAAGTTATTGCTATTGCTTAAAAGCTCACCTGAGCCTAAGACTAGAATGGGCTTTTTGGATTGAAGTCTGTCCCTTGTCTGTCGTTATTCTTGTCATCGTTAACTTTTCACAATTTCATCTGTTATATAGTTTCAAATCACATTACATATACCTTAATTACTTGCAGTGCTTTTTTGTATATCCAAGAGCTCAATCAGCAGAATCTTTACATTGTAGGCTCCACCCCTGCCTTAACATGAGAAGTTTTCAAATCGTTTGACCATTATCGAAGGGGCTGATGAAATTTCTTAAGTGCTCAAGGTAATTACTTTTTGTAGTAACATATTTTAGTCAATAATACATGTAATTATCATGACATTGGAACTTCTTGATTATTTAATAATTTTCTTCATCATTTCAGAAGCAATGCAGTCACTGTCGGGGAAACGAAGCCAGAATTGTGTAAAAATTTGAAAAATAAATGCAGGATTAATGCTTACAATTTTGTTCTTTTAATTTCTTATTGTTTGCTTAAGGCATTTAAGGCCAAGTTTAATATTTGGTTCACATTGCAATCCAAGGAAATACCAATTATTAATAGGAAAATGTAAGGAAAGAAATAAAATTAACATGTGCTCAACATATGATCAACATATGAACATAAACGTATGTTCATCATATGATCATACAAAACATATGAATAACATATGTTAAACATATAATCAACATATGTTTAGAAACATATGTTGAACATACGTTGCTCGTTTTTTATGGCGAACATATGTTTCGGAACATATGTTAAACGTATGTTCAACGTATGTTGAACATACGTTGCAATTTTACCTGTGTAGGGCTCACGGCGGGATTCAGGGGATGCTTACTCCTCCTAGGCACCTGATCTCACCTTTGGAATATTCTGGGTCCGTGCAATATGCCCGCTTTACAGAATTGTAACGTTTATATTTTTCGGAGATCGATCACTATACATTATCTCACATCTTTGTTGTTACGTTTTCTAATTCTTTTCAAAGGGTACTTCATGATGATTCAGCCCCTGTCCCCATTCAATTAAAATGTTTCGTCCGTTAGAGAAATCTTCCATTTTTGTAATCAAGTAATAAAAAGTCAAACTTTTTAAAACAAAAAGGAAATTGTTATATTTACTTCTCATGAGACATCCTATTACGTTATCGCAATCTTCATTGGAACAATAACACCTGTTCTGACATCTTCTACCATATGCTGGGTAAAAGCAGGAAATATTGCAGTTCATACCAAAGTATCCTACTGGACATTCTGTCAAAATTGGAAAAATAATTTTGTTAAATGTAGAATATTTTTTCGAAAATATACCTTGGTATTAAATAAAGATAATACAACCCTTAAATATCAAAATCTACATAAGTTAAAATACTATTTTAATGACGATGTAAAGTCCATAAAACGCTGAAAAGATTTTTTGGGTAGCACTTACGAGAAGAGTATGTTTGTTACAATATCTCTGAAAGTTTCTTGTTGCAAACTATATGCGATATATAGAATTTCATTATAGTATTTGTTTTCCTTCAGATGATAATTGCAGCCATTACTACAAACTTAGGGCATTCTTAGTGACAATGGCAACATTTTTCTATGAATTGAAAAAAACATTACTTGTATATCATGTATTTTTAAAATTGAACAGTAATCTAGGGAAGAGCAGTGCTTTAATTTATTGTTTAGAATCTTTTTATTACTGAGTTTAATCACTCTTATTTTAAAAAAATATTCCTCGTATATAAAATGACAAATTTGCATTAAGCAAAATATCTTTATAGAGCTAGCACAAAGGAAAAGTTTATATAAATACAATACATTTTATCGGGGTTTTTTTTTTTTTTTTGGTCATCAAAATTGAAAAATTTTGGCATTATCTACTCTGTGTGAAAAAATAGCATTTGTGATAATCATGAAATTTGATAATTGTTATACCTACCCACACAATCTGTACCTATTGCCTGAAAATAAGGGCAGCATGTTTGTGTACCATCTGATCTGCAATGTACAACTTATTCATCTTGAATTCTTTGCACTATCTACTTTGAGCTAAGTATGATAGGGAAGACCTTAATTTTTTGTGAGAATGGATAAAATGTTTCAGAAATTTATTAAAGAATCGTAAAAAATAACTTGAAGGTAATATGCGAATCAATTATCATTCGCTTGGTTTTTTTTAAAATAAATTTGGGGTGATAAATGAATAAAGGAGATTAAATGAACAATACGTTAGGGTTTTACCAGAGGTTTGTAACATCTTTGTTAAACTCATGAGTATATAAAGTATTGAAAAAAACTTGAAGCTAGGTTTTGAATCTGCGTTTGAATCACAGCACTTTTTGAGGAAACAATTATTCAGGTACTTGAAGTTGATATTAAAAAGATGCTGAAATTCTTCATTGGCAACAAGAATGTAGTTTTCGGAGCAAAATTTTAAACAGAAACATCTACATGAAAAGAAACTAGAGGTACTGTGAGCAATGAGCTCACTAAATGATACCCCCGCCTCCCATATAAATATAATGGCAGTGTCCATGTTTTGCTCTGGAAAATCCATAATATATGTCAGATCAAACAGTAAAATAAGAGGTGCACAATGGCAATATGTAATAAAGATTCTGTGAAAGTTTCATTAAATTTCCTTCAGTGGTATGAGAGGAGTTGCGGATAAGAGATGGGTACCCCAAAGCGTAACAGACGGACGGACGGACGTACAGACGGACGGACGGAAATACCGATTACTATATACCCTCCTACTTTTCAAGCGGGGGGTATAATTAAAGCGAATGGTTGGGTATTCATTATTCAATAAGGATATAAAGGTTCCTTTTTCAAAAATTTGGAAATGGTGCTACGGATATTCTATGAATGTTAAGTCGATGACTCTTATATCCGTTTGAGCAAGTGTGTATAGCCCTGGGGATATTATCAATTCTGCTGAAACAATGTACGCATTTTGAATGTTGCTTACTTTTTTATCTTATACGTGATTATGAAAACGAACAATATTAACATGCTCCCGCTTATACAGCGCACCAATGAGGAAATCAACTATGAATTGTTTACTGAATTAAATTTTATAATTTGCATAAAATATAACATTTGTTTTAAAAATATGAGCGATTGTATATTTGAAATCAATCAGCAATTTGATTTAACTACAGCTGCATGATAACTTTTAAGGTTTATAAACTATAACAAAAAGAGCAGTTGGTTTAGCACAAAAAGTTCTTGTACTCAAAGTAACAGCGATTCTGATAAATATATTTTGTTTACTTTTAACTGTAATCTTACTTTGGAGGTCCACATATTTTTTCACATATTCCCCAGAAGAAAAATACAGAAAATCCAAATAAAAACAATATTATTTTTGATATTTCCATGGCTTCACTTCTCTTTGTTCTGATCAACAGGAAGTTTAATTTATAACAATTGTTTGCATTTTTGTCAATGTTTTTATCATAATACCAACATTGAAAGTATATCAGATTTAGCACATGTACTGAAGAGGTATGAATTTGAAACGGAAATTGGTTTTTGTATTTAGTTTCGTATAAAACGTTAGTCATATGTTTTTGTTTAATTTGTTTTAACACTAAAATATATAAATTCTAAGATAATTTATGTAGTTTGATACTGCCGAAGTACTGAGACTTCACTGAGATAATACACGCTGTATTATAGGAAACTCAGGATACATGTACCTCTCTGGTGACAGAGTTGTAAAACCTTGTCTGTTTATACTTTTTAACATCGTTAAAAGACCTGAAGACACACAATTGCAGGGAATAGACTTTAAAGGTTAATAACATTAGCTAAAATGTAAGATCTGTATAAGGCAGTAGTTTAATAAAGAGAGAGGTGGCATACCACAGAAGTGGGGGCAGTGGCAGGAAGCAACAGTACTTGTAGAGTGGCAGGACTAGTGAAATTCATCGCGGGAGACACCCGTTGACCACAGTTTGTGGTTATGCAATCAGGAGAAACCCCATTGTTTTATTGTATTATATTTCTATATATGTTATTTGGTCAATAAATATCTCAGTTAACAGTTTAACGAACCTGAGTGTAACGGCTCGGTGATACAAACCATATCAACACACACCCAGCTCGGCACCGTTGCACGTTTCATTATTTGGTGACAGCGGTGGGATTTTGTTGAACATGGATTCATATAAGAAAGTGTCAGAAACCATAGGCGGATAGAGAAGATGAGAACGCCAGCCAGCAATGATGGTGAGACAAATGCAGTAAGCCAAGACTCTGGATATGCGACATGCAGTACTGATAATCTACCGCCCGGTATGTTAGGAGATGTGTCATTTGACGAGTACGGCGCACTATGACACGCCTAAACCACAGAGGCTGTCAATAGGGACAGAGTATGCCAAGGCAGATCTAGACCATATAATCAAGATAGCCACGTATGATGGAACCAGTTCCTGGCTTGACTACAACTCACATAATGAGGCTTGCGCTGTTGTAAACGGCTTCACAGAGGATAAGAAGGGTATTTACTTCGCTATATCACTGCGAGGCCAAGCACAGTCAGTGCTAGGTGACTTGCCAAGGTATACTGGTCAGTACTACAACACACTTCTTAGATCCCTAGATATCCTATTCTAACCAAAGAGATCTGTACAGTTACAACAACGAAGACAAAGAGCATCTGAGTCAATACCAAAGGTAGGTCAGGCCATTAGACGAAAAACCACTCTGGTCTATGCATCAGCACCTGGTGAGGTGCAAGAGACTTTGGCAAAAGATGCCATTCATTGATGCCTTGGTAGATTCAGAGATGAGAATCCGGAACAAACAACCTCGTCCTCAAAACCTGAATGAAGCCATCCAGCTAGCCGTTGAACTCGAGGCTTATAATCGAGCAGACAGCAGAAACCTAGAAGAAGGATGTGGAGATAACGAACAATACTAGTATTCAATCTCAAAGTCCATAAAACAATACAAAATAGGAGAAGAGCAAACACGGACTTCCGAAACATCAGAGGTGGGAACAAGCAGCTGTCAATGATATCAAAAGAAAAGGAACATTTATACTAGTATAGGCAACAGAACTCTCATTTGGTGAGGTTGACCAAAACAGTCTTGAGACATGGATAAAGTCCATGGAGGCTAACATAAATAGATTAACCAACGAGATCCAAAAGCTGAAGCTGAATCGGTCAGTCAGTAAAACCTATGACAGACAAGCAAGAGGCAAACCATTGCGTTGTTATGAATGTAACAAGGAAGGCCACATAAAACGCTATTGACCCAAGCTGTAGAGACGATCCTGTGAAAGTGAACACAAGTATTCAAAAGAGAAAGGGGATTAAGCAGGCTAGTACGAAGTAAACAGACATCACAGAAAGTCTGTCCTAGTGGATCAATAGGAGTTGGATCTTGCCTAAGTGAAGTGAAGCAGGCATGTACATAGACATCTCTGTGCAAAGTGTCCAAGCTAAATTCCTGGTTGACATAGGAACAACACTGACATTGTTGTCCTCAACAGCGCACGAGAAAATTACAGAATGCATCTGACCAAAGCTGCAACAAGATATCAACAAAGAAAGATATTTTTTTCAACACACTTTTTAACAAATTTTAGAACTTTTGTTGTTTTATGTTCCTTACTAATTTTGTAAGTCCAGTCTATAAAGTTTTTTTCTTATTGCATCAGTCCATGGTTTTTCTAATATCACCTTGTGTTTACGTCAACAGTGAAGAAAGATACGGAGAGCGGTACCAGAGCCCAGAAAAAAATATATCAATGTTTATTTATTGATTCTTGCCACTCATCAAAATAAAAACCGATGCACAGAATTATGTATCTTAGTATAGTCTACTTGTGTGCCAAGTTATATTGAAATCCGACCAAAACTATAGGAGGAGTAGCATTTTGAAAAATTGTTTACAGACAGACGGACAGCTAGACAGACGGACAGACGATGGACACATTACTATTGCACAAGCTCTTCTGGTCTCTGACCAGTAGAGCTAAAAATTACAAATTTAGTGAAATTAGATTCTTTGATTCACTCGTCAATGGATCACTGTATAATGTTCAGCAATTTATGAAGCAGACATGAAAGAAACCATATGTGGATTGGGGTGTTACCGTGTACCCCTCAATAATTAAATCCAATGGATATAATATATACACATCACACGATACAATAATCTTATCTATACAGTTGTTTTGTCCCCCCAATTATTAATATGAACTTTGTTTTTGCTTGTCAAAACATTATGTTTCAGTTGATCCCCCCTTCCTTCATCACCCTGAAATTTCTTCAACAGACCTGGCATCTAGATCTAGAGCTCAATTTTAAAATGTGGGTAAATCACATTCATATATAGCACATGACATCCCAAGGATCAAGTGCTAAAGAGAGTCAAGTATTCTTAACTGAAAACAATTTTAGTAATTAGTAATTACATACATGTACAAATTTATTATTTATCATGATTATTACATGTATTTTTAAAAGCAAATGTTTTTTTCTTTCCTTTTTTAATAGTAGCTCTTATTGTAACAACTTTGAAAAAAACATGCATTTGATTTTTCTGAGTATACATGCAAATATATGCATATGCAAATAGATTGTATATAAAAAAGTAAGTACTCTAGGTATTTACATTGTACATGTATTTCAAATAGAGGTAATATAACATGTATAATGTGTTCAAGAAACATGTCAGTCTGCAAACACCTTGGTCAAATTGGTAAAATTAAAATATCCATGGCAAATTTAAATCCTTACTATTTAGTTGAAGCTAATCAGTATTTGTGTAAATAAGTGTACTTTATCTTTCAACAAAAATATGTACATGAGCGGTAATTTAAAGTTCATAAAAAAACGTCCTAGCAAATTCAAAAGGACAATGTAAAGCCCTCTCTCTTTCAGTTTCTATCAGAAAATAGACTGTATGTGATTTCCCTACATTTATTCAAGATGAGATAAAATCCATGCGTGGATATCGTGGCTTTTGATTATTGTTATCCCATACGAGTCCAACAGCTACATGTAGGGCTGCCGCAGTCTGGATTTGAATTGAGGATTCTTCAAAATCTGTAATGAGAAGATTATACATTTCAAAGGAGTAGGACCATTATTCTTCAGAGTTTAGTATCTATGATTTTATCAGAAAGAAATATGTTATAACAGAAATAGCACAGAGACTATCATTTATGATAATTATAATTTTGTAAAATGATTATAATATAAATGCATTTTGAATCTACAAATGGTTTCAAATCATTGCAAATAGCCTTAATTGATTTATTAAACAGTTTCAAAAACTGCTGCACATTTCACACATTTCTCAACCTCTTTCTCAAGAAGAGTCATTCAATCATTCAACATAACTGCATTTCAAAGCAAAAGTTGCAATAAAGCAAAACAACTTGATCTCCTTTAAATTTGAAATATGAAGAGATAAAACTTACTTGAGGCATATTACTGCTTATATTTCCATGCAGTGTTGAAAGAGCACTCTTCTGAAAAAATAGATAGATACATGTAATCATGTATAATTACAAGAATTTGATAATTTCCTAATGAAATATCTTTGATAATTTTTAAACTCATTGCTGTTAAGTAAGATTCATATATTGTAAATATTCATTTCTTTAAACTAAGTATTTACAAAATAAAAATTGGCTTTGCAAATTTGAGGAAGATCTTAGCATATTACGAATTATTCATGCTTGTAATTTGGTGGTATTATGTCAAAATGCTACTATATTTATCTACTTTTTGATCCAATTTCATGGGCTTTTTATAACAGATGGAACAAAAAATACATCATTTTTATTTTCAAACCTTTAAATTCCTATTTTTTGATTTGAATATATGTATTTATTCAGGGATTTACTTTAATTTCAAAACTAATTTGTTTGTTTAAAATTCAAATAACAAAGTTTGAAAGCACAATGGCATGTACCTGCTACTTACTTCATGTACTTACTTCGGCCTGTCGTTCTGTGAGGAACATAGGCCATCAACGACAGTCCTCCAACGTCTTACGAACTCGATTCGGAGCTGCTTTAGCTGCATCCTGTCATGTCACATCCTGTGTCTTTAACTCTGACTCCGAGTCAAGCCTCCAGGTGTTTCTAGGACATCCTCTCTTCTACAATAATGTTAAATTGTGTAAAATTGCACATTTATGCTTCATATGCATGCACCATGGATATTTTTTCTGGTGTAACTATACATGAATCAATATTAAAATCCTTTTGGTTTCCTTTTATTTCTTTTTTTTATTTATTTTATTTCTCCTTGTTTAATTGACTGAACATGAATTTGAGGATAGTCATATCTTATTTTATGCATGTAAAATATTTGTTATATTTATGAACTGTGTATTTTAAAATAAAATATATATAGATATCACTCAATTTTAAAATTTTGTGCAAATAGTTATAGCAATATTCTTAATTATAATAAAAGTATTCAAAATTGCAGTGATGAAAAAAAATATTTTCATGGGGAAAAATACTTTTTCCAAGGTGTCTTTATATCTTTCATATTTCTTGACCCCCTTGTACATGTATATATTTGCAAGAGTTTCTGTATAAACAATGTCAATACTGTACTGTGAATGACTTAGTAACTAGTAAAGTAAGTGAAGGTGTAATGAATCAATGACACTTAATTTATACATATAATATACAAAATATAATTTATTTATATTATATTCATTAAATATAATGTTCAACGTGGATATTGTTCATTAGAATTCATCTTATACCGATGCATTATATTTTTTCGATATCTCACCCCCCTTTGGCCGATTTCAAAGCTCTATAAAAAATTGAAATTTTGTCTCAGACCTTCGGAAAAATATTGCTTAGCATCCAAATCATCACCACCTAAGACCACTAAAATTCCAGTACTGAAATATGCCGCATATAGTCAGGGCAATGCAAAACATGACCGACCTCCAAAGTACAGGAAGCGTTTTCGTCGGCCACGTGATTCTGACAACCTTGAGTAAATATGCAACTTACGTCATTAAAGTGTAAATCAAAGATAAAATACTTGTTTATGGTCAAAAAATATTACCTTGGGATCTCTTCTGCACACCTAGGTACACTGTTACGACGCAGGTAAATTATACGCGGCGATTATATTCGCTGCATCGTCAGCTGCGGAGCTCGATTCGACCATTGTTTATTATGACGTCAGCCCCCAATGTTTGCCCCCAGTCCAAGATGGCGGCCAATAACCTTGATAGGGTCTATTGTATATATTATGTTGTTGAGATTATGTTTTCGATTATGTTTTAGTTAGGAGAGAACTAATATAGGCCTTTGGTCTGCTGTTCAATTATGAATAAAATACTTTTTAAACTATGTTTTCGATCAAAATTTGTGAAGAAGGATTTTGATTAACTTTGACTGGTTTAATTACTACTACATTAAGTTATATTGACAAACCTACATAAACTTCCTCCTATTTATTTTTATCATACAATCCTTCTTCCAGGGTCTATACGAAGAATGCATTAAAGATATAACAGGACGATGAATTATTTTGGTGAGTCGTAATGAAAAAAAAACATGCATGTGTTCAATGCTTTCCTGTGTCAGCTAGTTGTTATACATATCTATAGTACACAAAAGATATGCAAAAGATTTTCTTGGGGTAATTTTTTTAAACCTTTGATATCTTGTTCTTGAATACAAAATATTTCTTTAGAAATTCAACCAAACTTTTATTACCGACATAAATCGATAGGCCTCACCTATAAAACTCCTGTAAAAATATCGTGAAATCAAACATTCGACTAGACAACATGCATTTTTATAAAAAAAATTTCAATTGATAAATAGCTATTTTGTAATGTTGTATAAAAAGTCAACTTTTTACCACTAAAATTACGTGAAATATTTTAATTACTATATAATATCACAATATCTAAGTATGTGATGTAAAAACAGAACATATACATGTATAGCTCTGGAATTGAAAATTCACACAGACATTTCTTTTGAAAAATATACAATTCAAATGAGATTTTACATAATAACAAAAAAATAAAAATTAAAAAAATATGAACATTTAATTTACCTAGAAACTACTGATTATTTTTTAAACAAAAACCCAGAATACCCCTTGCATTTATATTTAATTTATCAATTATGGCGACAGTTTCTCATATCAGCATTCCTTAAAAAAGTCAGTCAGTCACTAAAATCTGTCAAATATTTAAATCATTTTTCGATTAAATTGTATTTTTTCAAGTAATAAATGCTTCAAAAGTTCTTTAATTTTATTAATAGGGAAGTTATGATGGAACAAAGACCATATCCGGTTTGTTTATGCAATGGAATACAAAAATTAATTTCTCAGCCTTTGCATTAGCATGTGCGTTTCACTCATATCTCTCCATTTCGTGTTCTAATTTTGATATACTTGCAATTTTTAAGTATTATGATACAAACATCGACAATTAATGCATAAAAAGTGATACTTTAAACTTCCTGTTGACCAGATCAAGGAGACATGAAGGAATGGAAATACCAAAAAATAATATCGCTTTTATTTGGATTTTTTGGATTTTTCTCACGGGTAAAATGTGGAAATATATGTGGACCTCCAGAGTAAGATAACAGATAAAATTAAACTATCATATTTTTATCAGTATTGCCATTAATCCTGATGTGCTAAATCAACTGCTCTAAACGTTATAATTTATAATTTTATTTTTTTTTACCATGCAAGCGTATTTAAATTAAATTGCTAATTAATTTAAGAATTTCTATCACCAATATTTATTACTCATGTAATGTGTTTATTTGTATATTAAAATGTAGTTTAGTAAACAATTTACAATTGACTCCTCTCTGCTGTACTGTATTAGAGGGAGCATATTATTGTTGTTCGTTTTTATAATCATCTAGAAGATTTTTAAAATGAGCAAAAACTTAGAATGCGTATATCGTTTCGGCAGAATTAATAATATATCCATGGCTGTTCACACTTTCTCAAATGGATATTTGACTCTTCAGCTTCATGTTCATATAAAATTTCAATCACCATTTGCATTTTTTTTAAAGGGGAACCTTTATTTCCATATTGAATTAAAGAAACGCTATCATTCACTTTGATTTTTTTTATTTATTGCTGTTTTAAAGTTTCAAGTCCCAACTGCTACTTTTCTCTTCCTTTGTTTTAAGTATAAACCAGTAGAGCTACAGTCTCGACAGAGACTTCTGGTTTTTTCATACACACCGTTTTTTAGGGGAGGGGGAGAGTAGGGGATTGTTGTACAATGATCATACAAAAAGGAAATTTAGGAATTCCTTGTTTTCTGCTGAAAGCAAATTTTTCAATTATTGTTGGACTGATTGATAAAGATACTGTATTATTTTTCCTTGTTTTTTTTTTTTCTTCAATCATAAGGATAGTTTGACTGTATATTCAAGATGAATATGCTTAAGAAAGAGTAGGATACCTGCTTAAATTTTTTCATGAGGAATATAAGCCAGATATTTTGTCTACAGTACTTCTGTGACCTTTTCTCAATTGAACAGGTCAGAAAATACTCGAAATCGGGTATTATCCGTGAAATCGCGTATAATACTCGATATTGGGGTATGGTTGAATCCGCGAAATCGGGTATAGGAGGTGTAAACACCTAATAAAACTTAAAGAATGGGATGGCGCATGTTGCCGAGTTAACTTTCATCTAGATACACATGTTTTCTAAAGATATCACTAGCCAAGTAAGAATTTGGATTTCAAGATTAATGCGCTCGGGACAACAATTACCCGTGGAGCTCAGTACATTTCATGATCTGCACAAAAAAAGGCGTTCGATTTGCTTTATATTTTACCTTAGGAAGAAAGTTTATGCATCTTCAAAAGGTTCATTCCCAACACAACAGAATTGTAAAGTATCAGAATTGGAAATAAAATTCCACATCAACACGACAAACATGAACAATTTGTAAATAAATCAAATTATACGGAAACACATTTCACACACCAGATATGATGCCATGTATAAAAAAAGGATTTTTATTCTATCTAATTATGCGTAATTAATTACTTTCACATTCATCTTGTGCATAAAATCAAATTTATTTTTGAATGTATAAATAATGTAATGATAAAAATGTCTAAAATTTCGGCTAAAAGAACCCTCTTTCTCTTTTTTTTGAAAATCTTTTCTTTTTTATTTATCATTCAAACATATTTGCAGAATATGTCTTCAAAATTTTAGCAGAGACAGTGATAGTTTCAGGAATACAATTTATGAGAGAACATAACTGTTGATCGTTTAATTACGCTAAGTCATCAATATTTTACCATTTCCTGGCGACTTCAAAAGGGAGGGGGGGGCTAAAGGCTTCTTGACCACCTCTGACAAAACAACCTCGACTGTGTTATACATGTATCTAAAAGACCTCTCTTTGAATGTCACGGTGGTTAAACTCGGTCATATATTTTTAATCGTAAGGAAGAGTGTGTGTGGGGGGGGGGGGGGGGGGGGTTTGGTTCGAACTTTAGTACCTTAATTTTTCTCCAAACACCAAAACTTTACCCATTTTTAATCTATACTGTGGAAAGTGGGGGGGGGGGGGGCTTTACCTATTAACAAGGTTCAATGTATATACTAAGATATATTGGGAAAAAAGTGAGTGGGGGGGGGGAAGCCCCCCCCCCCCCGTTCCAAAACCCCAAATTTTAAAGAAAGGAAATGGCTACGATTTTTATGAAATTTTAATGTCCGATGAGGAATTATATTCCCAAAAAGTAAAACAAGAGTTTACAAGGCAATTGAACACTCCATTATTTCAATTTGTTCATTAACATGTTCATAAACGTAAAAACTATAAGAAATGTGAAAATTTGACTATGTAATTCATATATCAATATGACTGTACCTCGATCTATATTGAGAAATTCAATGTATTTTAACTTCATGAAAAGATGTACACATTTGACTTTTATTTATAACCCCCCCCCCCCTTCAAAAAACACGAAAATCCTGTTCATATGACTTCTCGCTTCAATTTTCACAAAATGCATAAAATAAAGGTAAAAAATAGTATATTTTTTATCGATTAAAATGCAACCAAAAAATTTACGGTGTCTTTGAATTAAACATTTCATGTCAAATTG